ACTCAAGATGGTACAGAATCCCTCTCCTCTTAGAAGTGACTAGGAAGTGGACCTAGCCAGCTGGGAGATGCCGAGATCGAGATATAGAGTTACCAAACCGACTGGGATGGGACAAGCCTCACGGACTAAGGACACTGGGCAGAAGACCACTCTGGAGTGCTGAATGAGATCAACAGAGGGAACAGGCCTCAAGGCCTCAGTGTAGTGCAGGAAGGGATGGGAGAATAGAATTTAGTAATGCAAAAGCCTGGATTAGGAGGCACTGAGGGATACAGAGTGGCATGCATTTGGGCATATCCAAGGATATCTGCTGGCCAGTAGCCAACTGTGATTCCTAGGTTGGGGGCAAGGGCAAATGTAGAGAAAACAGTGGATGCATAGTTCATAACTGCTAAGGAACACATTAAGCCAGATATTCAGAGAACATGGCTCTAATTATTAGAACTTGGGAACAAAGCAGGTAATTAATTTGGGGAACACAGGGAAACCTCAGTTTTCTAAACTGGAGCAGAAGGTCAAACCAGAAGAACTACTAAAAGAGTGATGGACTAGAGCTCTTTGAAATGAAGAAAGTGAAATGCTGGTTAATCATTTACTTAAAATCAGTGATGACAATGTTCATGAAGGTTAATGTCAGGCTCACAGTAGGTCTGTAACATTTGTCCACTCCTCTACTTTCTCCCAAGTCCAACAACTAGGTGGCAGCCCTTGAAAGCCCAGAGCACATTCAGTAGTCTATGCCCAAGGTGTTAAAAGATTAATCAATCTAGTCAATCACATTCCCTAAGGCACTTGGAGGTGTTGAGATCACTGGACAAACAATGGGAAAACTTTACATTTGTGCCCTCCACATTCAACAAGATCTATATCCTAGAGGCCCCATTCACCCAAATACTGATTTGCCTTAGGAACCCTGATCAATATGAAGCCCATAAAAACAAACCCCTACTTCATGAGTTACACTATACAGGTAACCTCAATCAGAACTATCAAAGCAGAGGGATTTTAACTAGGTCTCTCACAGTCACTGAAAATGTTAGTGGTTCTAAGCAAGATTGATGGTTTAAAACTTTTTCAAACAAGAGGGTCTCATACCTTAAACCTCAACCATGGGGCATTACTTTTGCAGTGGTTCTGATATAAAAGCCTGAACATCACTTGACAAAGTATGAAAAGTCTGAAAAGAATCACAAGAAGCTCTTCCCTGTTCAAGCCACATAAGGCACTGAGGCTTAAAGGCTGATTGTGGCTTCAGCACAAAAAACAACTCACTAGAAGATCACATACCAAATGATGGGACTGTGTCTGTGAAATAAACTTTCTTCACTGATATGTGATCCAGTGTCATTTCTTCAAAGCGGCAAAGTGCTTGGTGCTATACCAGAGAATATACCCACCAAGGAATACACCCAGATCTCTGAAAGATATGCCACAATTTGGCTTCAAATTGGAAATTACATTCTTTATAAGCATTATTCTTTAGTTGGTTAAATACATGTAATCACAAGTACACACAATGTTGTTCTTCAAACTACCTCTTCTTTTGACTGGTGTTTCAGAAGAAACATTCCATTTGTTAATATCAAATATGCTAATGTGTCAGTGTCTGTCTTCTCTTTTATCCACTCTGGAGATATTCGGAGCTTATCTCCGAAGAGTGTGTCTGGCAATTCAAGTGTGAAGCTACGAGCTACATAGTCTCTAATTGATCCAAAGCAGTGATCATGTCTCACCCTAGACAAATTACTACAGCCACAAGTCCACCCAACTGCAATTGTGGATGGAGTCAATATTGAACCTGATCCAAATTTCACCAGTCTTCCTTCTACCTTAATTCTCTATGTCCAGTTTTACATGGATAGAATTGCCATTCATTTTCTTTTTATAAGAATGAAGTATTATTTTTATGATGATTATTCATGTTAGAGTTCTCTTTTTAATACTGGATGATTATTTTTTTAAACATGTCTTTCCTAGAAATATCACTAGTAAAATGCATCCAATTTTTCTCTAATGTGGTGCTTTCCCTGTCCATAAAACTTATTTGATTAGCAGTACTATAGAAGCTAAGGCTTTTGTATGCAGGCACTCAAGCATAATTTAATCATTTTATTTAGGCATGAAAAAAATTATTCTGAAAGCCCTGTTAGGTAAAATATCCCTGATTGGTTTAAACTTACATTTGCAGGTATATTAAGGGTGAAATAAATCACGGAATGCCCAGTATGCAATGGAATAGTGTTAACTTTGTTATAATAGTCAGCAGTAAGTTAAAAATTGTAGTATTAGAGAATGTAAGGAATAAGTATCATTATAAATAACTGCATTTAAACAGGTTATTTTAAAATAAATTTTGTTTTATGCGAAACCATTTTATATTACAAGGATTTTCACCCATGGAAACCTCTTTCATAGTCAAACGAGATGAGGTCCTAATTGCATAATACCATTTATCTGCTGAGGATAAAAGTGCCAACAAATGAAAATGCACATTAGGCAAGAGATTGTCAGAATAGAAAATTGTCTTTTTTATTTTTTTTTATTTTTGTGTTTTTTTGTTTTTAAATAACCCACTCACATTAGCGATAGACTGCAGTAGCTTCCAAATTATAGGTTGTTATTTTTAGTGGAAGTAGTTCAATATTCATATTGGAGCAGATGTAGCAGTTTAACAAAACAGCTCTTCAAATCCTGCACAAATTGAAAACAGGAAAACTGATTGCATTTTCTCTTATCACTTTCCTTTTCTGAATTGACACTTTTGGCCTTCTGAAAATTTACACATGGCTTTCATCTCAACAGCACCTGCTGATCAAACAGAAAACTAACATTTTCATGAAAATGGTATAAAGAACTAGTTTTGTTCTAAACGCTGTAAAGGGCATAAGTTGCCTACTAGATAGCAACAACTGCTGGGTATAAGGCATATTCATAATAGTTTTATAAATTTTCATTAAGCTTGAAAAAAAATACATTAAGTCCCTTCTGGTTTTTTCCATGTTCACTTTTGTATGATTCAAATTTCTTTGACTCAATGTCTGCCTAATACTTAGTCTTATCATGCAGCGACTATGCAAAATGTGTAAAAGGGTAGCTTACACTAAGATACGGAATACTTAGTATTTTCTCTGCCACTGCTTGGAATGAATACACATATTTATCTATATATTGTTGTCTATCCAGGCACATGGGTGTAAAATACACACACCCCATTTTCTTATTCCACCCACAAAAAAAAAAAAGCAAACAAAGTCAGGCCCAATTTTTGAAGGGGCCTTACAAATTCTTTTATCAGATACAGATTTAGCAGGTGCTTGAATGTTTGAGGATCCCCAACTGGGGAAAAATGGATGTCACCTGAGCACAGGCTGGTAACAATCTACCAACCACTCAGTGTAAATATCTCTGGGAAGGTAAAGGTAAGTCTTGAAAATGGGTATTCTTATATGAAAAATACAAGATTGACAGCTAAGTAGCTTCCCAGATTTTTAAATAAAAGTCTATCACATATTTATCTGTTACACCTAATTCTAAGTAAAATTAAAGATGCTCCTAAGACATGCTCTATGTCAGTTTCCTAGCAAAAGGGCTCTACCCCTCTGAAGGATTCCAAGTGTCCATTCCCATTCTGCCTGGGTGACAAGGCAACCTCAGGCAGAAATGACATACAGTAATATATGTACCACTCTGGCAAGTTGGCCTGTGAATTTCGGTGTTTCATCATGCTCACTGAGGCAGCAGCAAACCTGAAATGTCAGTATGTTCAGTCAATGGAAGTGAAATAACGGGACTCTATTGTCTTACCCAATCGATCTGCTGTTGTCAACAAGAAAACATGCCCCCCTGGCTTTAAACAAATTTTAATTAGGCTCTTAGTTACTGGTTCATATTTACCTATGAAAACACTTATCTTGACTATGTGTAGGAAGCAAAACAATTGTTTTTCCCACTTTTATCCATTTTAACTACCTTCTAAAGTTAATACTATAATTTTTTAAGTACACTCATGAGTGTATTAAACATTTTTTTAATTAAACAGTTTTATTAGACACTTTTAAATTATTTTTCTAATAAACCAACTCAAAGGGAAAAAAAATCCCATGGTTCAAATCCAAAACACGAATCTACCTAACAACTTGATTTCTTTTTCCCTCTAGACCTAGTTGAAACCACACTATAAAATCAACGAATTCCATATTAAAAGTAGGTTTCATTTGCTTTTCTCACTCATTCAAGTACCACCATTAGCATCAATTCACCACCCATTCAAAACATGTCACACAAAACCAAACACAAATGATCAATTCCAAAAGCCTCTACCAATTTTGCTCAGTTTATCAATCTTACACATAAGGGGTAAATGAAACTCCTGTTATATGGGGGATGGTGGGAAGAAGGGCAGGAGGTGGGGGTGAAAAGAAAATAAGGCATTTAAGCCATTCAAATTTGCCTAAGTTCTACAGTCCCTCCCTGCACCAGAAGGGAGACAGTCTCACCTTACAATAAAAATAAAAATGAACTAATCAAGTTGTTAAGCAGCTTTTTCTCTCCCCTCTTCATCTAAAGGCTTCAGCATCCCGTCAATAAGTAATCTATTGTTCCCCCTTTATCCAGTCTCTTTAAACCTATTCAGAATGGCAAAACTAAACCCAATTAAAGATAAGGCCCTCCGGTAATCTCACCTCCGTGAGTCCTGTCTGGATAGCAGAGGTGATGGGAGATAGCGGCCAGGCCAGGGCTGATGCCTCCTCACCACACACAACAAAAGGCAGATTTCTCTTTCTCCCTCTGCTAATCTTTAAATGTAAATTCTCTCCGCCAGCTAAGAGGAGCGACAGATAACATGTTACATCTTCACTTCTCCTGGTCTTATCGACTTCTGAATCATTGGAAAGGGAGAGAGGAAAAGAGAAACGCAGCCTCCCCACACCCCCCTCCCCCGTTCTTTCCCACCCCTCCTTCCTCCCTGCCCGCCTCCCCTCCCCGTTCACGGAGATTACCTTCTGGCAAAGGAGCGCAGGAGAGGCGGCCGCAGCCGAGGCGGCACCCAGACCGCGGCTTTGTATTCATTAAACACACATCGGAGCTTATCAGAAGTAAAAGGCTTGTCAGGATGGCACATTGTGTGTGAGTGAGTGTGTGAGCGCAGGAGGGAGAGGAGAGAAGCCAACGTGCATCAGGGTGATTACAATATCAGCCGGGCCCAGATGGAGGCAGGAAAATAAACAGAGGGTGCGTGTGAGACGGAGCGGGAGAGGGAGGAAAAGTGGGAGAGACAGAAAGAGACACAAGCTGGAGGGAAGAAACGGAAAGGCAAGGAGGGGGAGGGGGCGGGGGCTCCGGCTCCAGAATGGGGATGGCAAGGAGGGCGAGGTACCCCAAGGCTGACTGAGGGTGAGAGCCAGCGCTGGGGGAGGGTGGCCTGCATTCCCCAATCTGCCTCTACCCGGAGAGAACGGGAGGAATCCAGACTAGCAAACTGTATTTCCCTGCTCCAGGGCTAGACCGCCAACATTTTGGAGGTTCTGTCAAGGTCAAACGGGGATCAAGAGCTCTCTTTTGGCGGAGCTTATAACAATGAGACATTCACCATCTCACCTCCATCCAAATAGCCACAATTTGCAAAACAAACCTAGTGAGTCCTCACAGCAGTTACACAGCCTTCCAGACCAACCTCAAGTGGGAGTTCCCATCCCTTTCTTTGCTGACCCCAACGGTCCTAATTTCCAACCCCCTGCCCACACACACAAAGACCCACCCAGGCAGATACAAAATATCTCATTTCTCTGGGCTTCAAGTGTGCCAGCAGAAGACCTGTGTAGCCAGCATCACTGCGATAAGGAGGCGCACTTGTGATTGGTAGCTACAGGTGACTCTGAGACACCTGCTCCACCTCCAGAAATTGTGTTGGGGGAGGGGTTCCTCATGTGTACATCTGAGAGTCTATTTTGGAGGTGGGAATTTAAAACTGAGGCAATCATTCTCGGCTTGAGCTGCCTCACAGCTCTTCACCCACCCAGAGCCCAGGAATCAATCAGAGAACAAGCAGGGAACTAGCGCTCCTCCATCAGCCCAGAGTTCATCTTCTACCCCATCAGGGTCTGGAGGGAGAAACACCTGAGTGGTCTCATGGGAGCCCCTATCCACTTTTAAGTGCACCCGTCAGACAACATGAACATCTGATCAGATCCTTAATGGAGTGCAGATAATGCAGCAAATAAGGTTATTTTATTGCGGGGAGAGGGAGTATTTGGTCATGTTGTATTTCAAGGCACTGAAGCTTGGTTAACAAGCTCTCACTGCAGTATGAAGAGTTCAGAATAAAGTAGCCAATAAAGTACACAATTGTTCATGGCATACATTGCAGCCCCAGCTGCAGTGAAACTTCAGGCTGTAAAATAGTTTATGCATGAGGTATCAATATAAAGAGACAAAATACTTGGGAGGAGGAGGAAATAAGGCTAGTGAGTAGAGAAAAACACTGAAGAGCAAGAGAATTAGCAGCAGCCTCTGAGAGGAGACAAATTTGAAGAAGCCCTGTAGAAAACGAGGAGAAGCATTGTTTAATCAAGCACTCCCCTCCAAATCACTCAGTCAAAAAAGTTTTATGTGTAGTGGATCCTCCTGCCCCCATCCCCGCTCTGCTCCCACCCCAAGAAAATCATTAAGGGAAATTGGATAGGTAAGGTAAAGTGAAAAAAGCTGGGCATTAGTGGGGGAAGGGCATATGTGAAAAATCTTGTTATGCAATGAATGTCAGATGAAAAGGGGTCTGCCACAATCCACCAGTAATCCAATAATGTGGAAAACCTCGTGGTATCACTGAGACGAGAACGAGGTAGTATTTCCCCATAAATCTTCAAAAAGTGAGCAGGTTCAATAGTTAGAGAAGGGTGCAAGGATAGGAAGTAAACCATTTGGCAGAGTATGTTACAAAATCGAGTGCACTCTAAATGGGTAAAAATCTGTCATTCTTACATGTTTTAAATTTAATAACAGATTTCTCTCATAAAGGGTCACCTTTCACTTTTCCTCTGTTACAAAAATTGCATTCAGAGTAACCAGACACAACCACATATACCTTCCCCTTTATTACATCTTAGATCAATTTGGACACAAACTACCCACAAACGTTTATAAATCCAATGCAACTCTAGGAAGTAAAAAATACAACTTAAAAATGCCAACTGATTTTTCCATTACATGCTCTCTGAAAAAATGCTATTTAAAAACAAAGCCCTACTACTTTCAAACCCAGAAGAGGCTTACATTTTTTCTTTAAAAGGCATCCAGACACTGAAGGCATGAAGAAAACTGCACAAAAGCTTATCTGCCAATGTTCTTATTTTGTAAAGGCACAGTATTTCTATTACTACCTTGTTTGTTCACTGACTTTTGGCACACGGTTACAGAAAAGATCAACCAATTTTCAAATGGGAAGAATCCATGACTCTCTTCCAAAGCAAACACTTTGCTGCAAAGCTTTCAATTAAAAAAAAGGGGGGGGGGCAATATAATAAGAAGTATAATCACAGAATAAGTGTACAACAGAAAGTGGTTTCTATAATCACAGCTGTCTTAAAGGCCAGGCTGGAGACTAGAAATCTTAATTTCAACTAGTTCTTTTCTTAATAATAGGTTACCTTCCTATAGGAGCAAGAAGGCCCATCTGCCTCAGGCAGATAAGTTTCGAAGCATTAATTCAGATAAAAATCTAGCATTTTCTTTCTTTCTTTGAGTGTGTGAATTCTAGTGTGCTATAATGTGAGAATTCCAACATATGACCATTATGGCATAATATCTCATTGCTCAGCTTGTCATTATTTCATTTGTAATTCTTATGTTAATTATGTTCATAATTACTATAAACAGATGTGGTAGACATTCATGTGACCTTTTATTGCAGAATGCATTCCTCACTCATTTTGCTATAATTTCTCATGTATGTGAAACTGAAATGCAAAAAAAAAAAGCTTTCTAATTTTCTAATGTTTTATATGCAAAGTTAAAACAAAACCCACCTTCTACTTCATCTGCATTTCAAAATATTAGAATATTCTTAACATTTAAGCTGCTTTGTAGAACATTTTAAAATTGCACACTGAACCTCACTGCTGCTCACTAAATTGTAGCTATGGATGCCAAACAAAGGCTAGAGTCCGTGTCTAAGTTGTTTGTCTTTTTTTATTTTTAATATCAAAGGTTAATGCAGCAGAATTGTGCTTCAAAACCAAGTACCTAACAGCTACATACCAATTTATTCACTCATAACTCAACCATCACCCTCTTTACATAAAACACATTTACAATAAAATCAGTATGGATTTCATTAGCTGTAAACCTCCTCGAATTTCATTTCTTTGGCCCTAATCTATAATTAGTGTGGACAGACAGGTGCAAACCCTTCTCTTCTACAGATGGCTACTGGAAATGGTGCAAAGTAGCTCCTTCTGTTTAAACAACACAGAGATAACCTGCTCTGTCTTATCACTTACAATTACCTCCATTAAACTGAACTAATGTTTGCTTTAATAAAATGTTCACTGTTCTTTAAACATTATTTAGGAACTCTTATATTAATGGCTGTAAAAAAGTGAAGTTGGAAGGTGTCTCTTTAGATAATAATAAATAAATTATTCTGGATGAAATGTTCTCACTTGATGGATAATATTCTGGGGTTCACAAAGGTGTTTTAGTTGACTTAACATTTGTCAGTTATTTTGCATAAATAGGGTCCAATATGGTACTTTTAAAAGGCATCTGGGTGACAAACAATTTAACAAGAAATTCAGAAGTATGAAATGTTTAATTTCTTTCTTAAAGATTTTAAATTATTGAAGTATATAATTCCTAAAATCCTGGATAGTTTTCAAAGCGTATTTATGTTAACCTAATTTTATGTATTTGTTTAACTTCTGATGGATTCTGAAAGTTGTATGAGTTCATCATTTTAAGGCACATTTAAAAAATTAACCATGCATGCAAGTGCACTCTGTAAGCACATGGTTAAAAATACCACCATTTCATAATAAATAGCTTCTATTCTATAAAGCAGAGATCACTTCTCCCTGCTTCTGCTATCAATAAAGTCTGTGGATCACTAGATGATGAATAAGGTGTCCATAAAACAAAGAAATTTTAAATGCCCAAACGTCAACAAATAAATACCTTTTCCCACTGAACTTACATAACTTACAGTAATAGACTCCAGTAAAATGCAACTGACTTTTTTTTCACATGCAAATCCTGCAGGTGCCAATTTTTCAGACTGCTTTGCTATGAAGGGCTATGCTGCCTGCATAAAACCTCAATGAAGAAGGGTTTGCATTCAGTGCCTGTCAGCTGATGTTCATATCAAAGAAGTGAGAAACAGGATTTGACAGTGAAGAATGTCCTAACCTGACAACCACTGACCAGCATTGCTATTGGAAGCATTTCTTTCTCGTGATCCCTTTTCAATGTTAGGGAAAAAAAGAAAAGAAAAAAGTGTTTTTTTTTTCTTTTTTGGCTAAGCTTCTATTTTACAATAAAATAAATGATAATGGCACCTTACATTTGTGTACTTCTTTACAATTTATGAAGTGTTCTTTTATCTGCAAATATTTATACTAACACCCTGGATGGGAAAGCTCATCATTAAATACTAGCATCAAGAGCAATATCTTACTTTTCTTCAGAAAGGGAAAATCGTAAAAATATTAAAAAGCTACAGTCCTGTAGCTGCAACACATACTGTCCTAGTATTTCCAGCAACTTGCAGTTTAATAGTGCAGTTCCATTGTACTACAAGTAAAATGTGTCTTATTAGGAAAGTCCTTTACGGATCATTTTAAAATCAAATTATTAGCAGGTATTAGCGGGTCACAGAGACTAAGGCTACAAAGGAAAATATAATTTCAAAGATTTCTGGTCTGCTTTGAGTTCTCTAAACATTAAAGAAAAAATAGACCGTTTTCTCCACTTCTTTTATTAGGTGTGAACTGGACACTGGAGAAACCACATACTCTCCCATTCAGTATTTAGCTTTTCAAATAAAATGAGTGCTGTCTAAATGGTTTACAAAAAATTATTAATGCTTAAACAAAGTCTCTTAATATAAAGTTCTTCTCTTAGTATAATCTTAGATA